CTTCCCAATTAACACTTTTTAAAATTTAATATATATATATATATATATATATATATATATATATATATATATATATATATATATATAATAGCCTACCAAAATAAAAGCATTTATTGTAATTTTGTTATATTACTTTCTTTTCAAAAGTTATAAATTCGTCGAGAACGGTAATATGGAAAAATCGTTTTGAGGATTAAGGGATTAAGTTTCAAGTAGGGATAACGCTGGGCAATCCTTTCCCTCAAGCCGATCCAGCCATTATTTGTATTTTCCGGACTGACTCGCTCATTGTCAGTACTTCTGATAGGTGTGTGTAAAAAAAAAAAAAAAGGTTTGAAGTATACATAGACAATCATTTTCTCTAATGTTTGGACAAGTTATTTCTAACTTTTAATCATAATATGGAATAAAAATTCTTCTTTAAAAATCCCATAAAAATTGAATAAAGGCTGTATGTGAAATACTCGATACACAAAATTTAGTACGGACAAACAAGCACGGAACTGAATTTATTTCTTGATATCTAAAACGTAAAACGCGCGAAAATTTTCTATTCTGAGAACAATAGAATTTTTTATCTCTGCCTGAGTACAATGCCCTTTTGAATCGTTTTTACCTCCGGCAATGGAGAAACGCAAATCTTACCTATTATACGAGTTATAATACGATATATAATATTTAACATCTCACAAAACTCTGAAGGCTCAATTAACACCTCCTGATGATAAAGAACATGAAAGATTTTACCGGCCATCTGTGCATAGTGCTTGAAGAAATGGCTGGATCATTTGAGAATGTTATGGTATTTCTGATTGCAGCATCCAAATCATGTAGGACTTACTGACATGAGGATGTTTCTAGAGCAAATCCAAGAAACTTCTCTGAAATATTTTGACGTCCAGAGTTTTCGTTAGAAATCCATGAGTCGGATGAGCCAAGGTGGATTTACTATCCTTCAGCATATGAATGTTCCCTCAGCGTTTATTTTTTATCATATTTTTCAATCAAATATTCGTTTTCATATTTAATAATATTATAATTAATTTTTTAATTAATAAAATTATTGTCGATTTCAATTGATATAATTGATGTATACGATTTCTCTGATGAGGAAAATTGGTTACACAAATAAATGCCATCAAATCAAACAACGTTTTTCTAAATGTGTGAAAATGGACTAAACCACAGTTGGGCCATTAAAAAACATCACCTAAAAAAATTACGTACGTTAGTTTGGACTATATCTAGACTGAAATCTCACCGACAATATATAGATCAAATTTTAAAAAAATAACAAGAAATGAACATTTCAATACAGACGACTGTCATATCTCTCAGACTATAGATATCAACTGATCTAAAGTACTACATTAGTTGTAGGACCTATTTGTGTCTATATAAGTGCTTATAATAAAAATTATTCGAAAATATTTAATGGTCCCTTAGTTCATTTCAAATCATTCTATGGACAACATAAAACAAGCATGAACATAAAACCAACAGTAAAATCATACATATATGTTAAATGCAGCTGAAGTGTAATAAAACAAATGCCCTGTTTGTTTTTATCGTGTCGCTCCCTCAAATGTCAAAGTTTTCAACATTGTCACTTTTTGTTATGTGATATATAATTTATAAATATAAAATTAAATACAAGCTTTAACTAAATTATTTGAATAAATATTTTTTCAATGATCCTCAAAATTAGGGACAATATATAAATAATTTATATACACAAATAATGTAAATCCAACAAATACCGTCTACGAATTTGCAATATAGTTCTTCTTGTCTCAAGAACTGATCCGCTGTTTATTATTATTGTCAGGAAAATAATAAATATATAAAATGTAGAACACAAATATGAAAACTTTGTCTAGTTTATGAAGGAATGAAAATATTGACGGCCTTGAATTTACGGCCACTGTGTTGCCTTATGAGATTAATTTTTATTGACTTGAGTCATTGTTTTGACACTGACTACTTTTATAGTGCTTCTCAAAGCTTTGTGCATCTTCAACGAATCTCACGGAAAACTTTGCACTTTGTTGTCAATTTATTAACTTTCGAAAGAGGTATACTCCATGATAAGCGGCATCCTGTCAGGATGTGGAGCTGCTAGTTGGTGGATGAGGTGGAAAGAATACCAATGTAAATATTTTTGATAATTTAATTTTGTATGTATTTACAATCCTAAAATTTACAATTTTCCCCTTATAAAAAGAAAATGCTCATTTTCATGAAAAATTGTTTCCATTCAGTCCCTTCTTTTTCTTGGTCGGCTTCATAGAAGCTTCTGGGTTCTCTTCATTCCTCAGACATGACCATAAGCTGTCTTTTCTCGAGTATTTGTCCCAGTGGCTTGATGTCATGCTCTTTTCTATGCCACCTCGTCATGTTTTTTTCATCACTCTTCGGAGATACCTCATTTCATCTGTGGTTATTATATTTTTATTTTTCTCTAGTGTTAACCTGCTTATACTACCGTAGAGGAAAATTGGATTGTACACTGCTTTATACATCCTTAATTTAACCTTGAGGAGCGGGGTCGGTCAGTGGGTGAGCATTGACATACAGAGTTCAAGGACCCAGGTTTGAATCCGGCCGATGAGTAGTAATTTTTAATTTTTCATCAACCGTGGATAGACCCTGGGGTCGGGGGAACCCACCTGCGGCAGCAATGCATGCGGCATCATGGGCACACCCAGCCTTTATAAATTGGGCAATCTTAATTAAATAATTAATTAAGAGGAAACACTGGTGGTTGAGCGTGATATTAACTCAATCACTTCCCTGCACAACCGTTGGCCTTGTACTTTCTTACATTGAACTGAACCCAAGGACCCTTCATGTGTTGTTAGTGGTACTTTTTTTTTTTGTTATTTTTAGTTTAACTTTCCTTGCAACTTCTTTCTTACCCACGATAGAGCTGCAGATTTGGAAGTAAATATAGTTAGCTTTCCTAATCCTGTGGTTGAGCTCATCATCGATTTTTCCATTCCTGCTTATTATAAAACTCAGGTATGTAAAGTCAACATTTTGTTCTAGTGACTTGTCATTACATAAGAAGTACTTCACCTTTATTTGTAAAGTGGCATTTTCTTTCTGATTCTTCTTACGATTCAACCATAGCTTGCTGTTTCTGCGGAGAGGCCTATGTCATCCGAGTACAATAAAGCTTGGACATGAGCATGCCTTAAATGCCATAATTCCAAAACGGTTCTGTGCGTTATCCTTTTGCAAATTTTATGTTTTTTGTCTTTTAAATTTATGAACTGCTAAGGATTTAAGCTATTTCTCCCCTTTAATACCTGTGTTTATTTCTTTTTTCCACGTTTAGTTAAAATATGTCTTTTGTTTATCAATAATTTTCTTTATTATTAGGCAATAGTATTTCTCATATTAATCAGTGACAAATCAATTAGTAATATCCCACCAGCTGTAGTTGTTTTACGTTGGCCAACGAGGCATTTTCTCGAACTATTTATATTAATTGCTTTCTATTCTTATATTACGGCACGACCTGGAAATTGTAGGCCTCTCATTTTGAATTTTGAATTCGTAACAAAGTTAATTGGCTGAAGGAAGATTTTAGTTCTTTCACTTGTATCCTATTATCACCGAACATGTTCCATTTCAAAAGGTCTGGATTCAACCCCATTTATTCTAATAATAACATATCCCATTTATTATGATACACTGATTTAATTGTATATATATGAGGTCTCTGGGACATTTACTTGAATTCCATTTATCAGATATTAGTATGTAGCGAAACGCATACGGTTAGACCACTCTCGACTCATTGTAGGGACACGTTTACTCTCTTTGCTAAGAGTACATAAAAAGCTTTGTCTTCAGATTTGAACCAAATCTGATGAAGATATGATATGTATATTCCAAAGTTCAAGGATTTATTTAGATAACTGATGACTTTAATAGTATAAGTATTGTATGGTATTAGGAAGAATTCAATGTTATTTTAGGTAAAATGTTTAAAAATTCTCCTCTACCGTATATATTATTTATTTATCTGTCCAACGTTTTGGACTCATGCCCATCTTCAGACACATTTCTTTCTCTTCTCATTGTTTTTTTTTATTTTTTTATCTCACATTCTTTTAATGCATGTCAGTAAACATTTGTATTCTTTCTATGTTTCATTTAATAATTTTATACATAACTTGGCAAATTTTCATAGTTACATTACTGGTTAGTTTTTAGAAACATTATTATTGCAAAATGGGGTAACTTTGGGACTAGGTGGGTAACTTAGGGACAGCGGGTAAAATTTAGTTTGTAGTCAGGATGTATTGCGCTACTATGTTGCGACATACTACTCTTGACGCACATGCGTAAGTTTCGTGAAAACAAGCCATGGAAATAAATAAAACCTAACTGCACATCAAGTGTAGTGAGCTATTGTTCTCAAACTGCCGCAAGGTAGTTGCGCAGTGCATTACTACACAAAACACGTTTTTTTTTTTAGACTAAACCAACACAGTGTGTCGCCACAAGCTAAATTTTACCCTCTGTCTCACACTTACCAACCCATTCCCAAAGTTACCTCATCTTACGGTAAAATAAATATATAATATCATGTTTACTAACATGCACTAGAAGAATATGGGATGTAATAAAAACATTAAGAAGAGAAAGAAATGTCTCTGAAGAAGGACAAAGAATCCGCAACGTTGTACAGTTAAATAAATAATATATACGAAATAGAAAAAAACAAACATGCATTGTACTTAAGATACTAGGAAGATTTTGTATATATATTTTTTTTGTTAGTGAACTTGATGTATCATATGTTAACCTTGACTGCACATACTTTTCATTGAATTTATGTAAATACATTTTGAAAAATGCCGATAACAACTCCTTCCGCACTAAAAAAGCTTTAATTGTATATATCACTGGTGGTGGCGCTGTTAATAGCTTTGGTTGAGGTTAAGTTGAAAGAGATATTGATATGAGTTAGAACGATTGCTGTCTAGGTAAAGTTCGAAGGGACACCAAAAAGCTGAGCTCACTATCCGTCAACTGTACCGTCGAAGGGATTCAGCCCCAAGGGATCGGATTTATCTCTCAATGGATGTCAGTGTATTTCTTCCTCTCAAGTAAGTATCTCAACCGGTTGCGATGTTGTCGAGAATATAAATGTAGTTATAAGGTTAAATGAGCCCAAAAAGTACCGGAGAAGTGTAATATTTCAGAGCTAGGCTGATATTAAAATAATAATAGTCTCATAAAAAGTTTGTTTGTTTATTTAGGCTTTAAGGCGTAAAACCCTAGGGTCATCAAAGCCTGTGAGTCGGTCATATTTGTAAACTCTTTAGAGGAGAATTAATAATTATTAATATATAGAGTAACAAATTAAAAAGATATTAAAAAACATATGAAAAATAAAATATATCAAAATAAATATAAAAAAGACAGAACAATAAAATAAAAATTATATTTATTTTCATATTCTATTTAATAGCCTATGTATTCTAAGAAACTTTATCACTTTTTTTTATATCGGACTCGTTGTTGCTTAATACTGCTGATATATCCGGTTTTAGAGACAAATCGTTTGAGACTTTTTATTATTAAAAAAAAAACACTTTATTCAGAAATATTACAATTTGTCACAGTTAAGGACACTTATAATAGAGTTCAGAGATTGCATTCATACCGTATATACAAAAATATAAATAAATAAAGTAATAACAAAAGAATAAGAAGAAAGAACAAAAGAGTAAAGAAAAAAAAATAATATATATACACATAAGTAAATAAAAATAGAAATAAAAGTAAAACAAACACCTTATATAAAACATACATTATTTACAATTTGCCAGGTGATCTCCGAACCAATCCTGTCCCCTCCACATGTGGAGGGAAAAGGGAGGCTAGGAGATCCCTACGCTTCTCCCTCAGCCACTTCACTGGTATTTTAAACCAGCGGAGGATGAGTAAGAGCGCTACAGCCACAGACACTCATGACTTGAGTGGAGAATCTGGCCATTGCTAGAACTCCAAAATATCCATATTTACAAAAGGTCTCGTGGCCACTGCCGCTTTAACCTACGAAGGGGATTGTAGGGATGGGTGGTGCTTGATAGGGATTGTACAACGGGATTTGGGTGATGAGAAAGGTTCTGGTGAAATTTGGAAAATTTGGCTGGGATAAGATCAAGAATAAATGGGATATTAAGGTCATGATGTAGGGTTTTATTGGTTACATAGAAGGGAGCATTGACTATTGTACGGAGGACTTTAGACTGAAAGGATTGAATGCGTTTGATGTTAGAAAATTTGGCTGTTCCCCATAGTTCTAGTCCGTAAGTCCAGATGGGTTTCAGTATTGTCTTGTAGATCAGTAATTTGTTTTCACCAGAAAGTTTAGATTTTCTATTCAGTAGTCTATATAGCTGGCCATATCGTCTGTTAAGTTCCTGTCTTTTAAGTCGAGTATGTGGATTCCATGTTAGTCGTCTGTCTAAGAGAAAGCCAAGATACCGGACTGTATCTGAGAAAGGAAGCTGGATGGAGTTAAAATAAACTGGTGGGCAGGTATTACGCCGAAGGGTGAAGGTAATGTGTTTACATTTAGATTCGTTTACCTTAATGCGCCATTTCTTACACCAGTGTTCAATCAGGAAGAGGTGCCTTTGTAAGTTTGCGGACGCTGTTTCAGGATCTGAGTTGGAAGAAAGGATAGCAGTGTCATCAGCGAAAGTTGCCAGGAGGGTATCGGGATGGACAGGAATATCAGCGGTAAAGAGAATGTAAAGGATGGGGCCCAAGACGCTGCCTTGAGGAACGCCAGCCTCAATTGAGTAACAGTCGGAGAATTCGGTGCCACAGCGAACTCGGAAGGAGCGGTCGGAAAGATAGGATCGGAGTACTAGGTATAAGGACTGTGGTAGATGGATTTTAAGCTTGAAGAGTAATCCGGCGTGCCATACCCGGTCAAAAGCTTGCGCTATGTCCAGAAATGCACCCGAGCAATACTGCTTGCTTTCTAGGGTTGAGGATATATGGTCAACAACTCGGAGTCCTTGCTGGACAGTGGAATGTTGGGAACGAAATCCGAATTGATGAGTAGGAAGGTTATAGGATTCAATTATAGGTAGGATTCGTTTCAGTAGGATCTTTTCAAAAATTTTTGAGAGGATTGGGAGTAGGCTAATTGGTCTATAGGATGCTGTATTGTTGGAAGGTTTGCCTGGTTTCAAGAAGAGGACGATGGTGGAATGTTTCCATAAAAGAGGGAAGTGGGTAGTTCGTAGGATGCAATTGTATATATATGTAAGAAATGTGATGGCTTTAGATGGAAGTTGTCGAAGGATCTGTGGGGTTAGAAGGTCATATCCAGGAGATTTGCGAGGTGTGATTTTCCGTAAAAGGTATTTGACCTCAGAGGGATTAACAGCTTTAGGTGGTAAGGAGAGTGGGATAGGTATTGAGAGGGATTCTTCTACTTTTACTGTGTGGCTGGGATGGGATTCTGGATGAGGAGCGAAAGTATAGGAAAGGTGTTTGGCAAATTCCTCGGCTTTATCTTCATCAGATGCTGCCCAGGAGCCATCATCTCGTCGAAGAGGGTGGGAAATATGATGGGATTTGAGGATTTTTCTGGTGATATTCCAAAGGGAATTATCATGAGCAGAGAGTGTGGTGAGGTAGGAATTGAATGATTGGGATCTGAAGGTGGCTAATTCTTTTTTTAATTTTTTACAGTGATAATTGTAGGAGTGGCGGTCGGCTGGATGTCTGGTACGTTGCCATAATAATCTGGCACGGCGTTTTATGTGGATTAGGTCAAGGAGGTGTTGAGGTAAATTATGTTTCTTAAGGATTTTTGAGGAGTGATCAGGGGAGGAAGCAGTCCAGACTGCTTCTTGAATTTTGGTAGTGAAGGAATGTACTGCATTGTCCAGGTCTTCAGAGGTTTTCAGGGTTACTCTGAGGTCAATTTTATCGGAGAGGATTTGATGAAAGAGTTTCCAGTTAACTGGGCCTCTGATGAAGGACGGAGGAGAGGGTTTAGGAATAGGAGCTAGTGATACTTGGAGTATTAATGGGCTGTGGTCTGAGGAAAGCTCGTCAAGACGGGCAACGGAATGGTTGAGAGCACCTAAACCATTATGGATAAAGAAATCGAGGATATCGGGATTACGGTTAGGATCAGTGGGCCAGTAGGTAGGTGAGTTGGGTGGAAGAAGGGTAAAATTTTGGGAATTGAGTACAGACAGCAATGTTCGACCACGAGAATTCGTGGTTCTTGAACCCCATTGTTGATGCTTGGCGTTTAAGTCTGCACCCAAGATGAAATGATGTCCTAAGGAAATGAGGAAGGAACTAAATTGGATATTGGAGATGGATTGGTTTGGAGGGCAATACGCTGATGCAACGGTAATAGGAAAGGAGAAGGTTTTGATTACGACTGCGGTGGATTGTAGGAAATCGTGTGTAGGCAGTGGGAGTAGGTGATGGGAGAGGGATTGGTGCACAATGACTGCAGTACCGGCATGTGCTCTACCGTCAGGATGGTCGGTACGGTAAGTTATGTATTGTGGTATTTTTAGGAGCTGTTTTTTAGTCAGTCGAGTTTCCGTTATTAGGGCTACGTCTACGTTCTTGTCTTGTAGTAAGGCTGTTAGTTCGTGTATGTGATTTCTAACACCATTCGCATTCCAAAGGAGAATGGATATGGGTTTGATGGAAGTCATTTAAGGATTTTTTAAAGGAGGGATAAGGTGAGATACTAGGTTAGTGAGAAGTGATATCAGTGGGGTAACAAGGGATTTAAATTCTGAAAGAAAGGATGTCAATAAGCTGGTTAGATCTGTAGCATTAGGCGGTGGAGGAACATATTGGATTTGATGTTGGTGAGGTTGTTGTTGATTAGGTACATTAGGTGGGATAGGATATTGAGATTGGGGTTGAGTTTGTTCTTGCGGCAGGGCCTCACATACATTAGTCGGGTCTCTACCCCCAAGTAGCTTGGCAAAAGAAACCTTAGAGTTCACAATTTTAGCGGGTCCTCTTCTTGGTTTAGGTGTATCATCAGGGTCCCTGGGTTTCATATATCTCGCTTTAAGATTTTTATAAATTTGGCAGCCTTTGTAGTTGGCTGGATGGCCTTCCAGGCATAGGGCACAGACTGCTGGTTCTGTAATTGGTTTATTACACTCGCCAGACTTGTGTGTTTTACCACATTTCACGCAGCGTGGTAAGTGGTGGCAATAAGACTTGGTGTGGCCATATGCTTGGCAATTATGGCACTGGATGAACTCTCTTTTTGGGTACGGTTTTTCGACCTTTACGCTGGTGTAGAAAATTCTATTCACATCGTATATTTTTTCGATCCCAGGCGATGGCTCTAGATCGACGAAAAATAAGGGCAATGGGATTTTATTCTTTACACCTGGTTGTTCTTTATTTTCTTTTAAAACATTGGTTATCTGACGTATTTTGAACCCTAACGCCGTTAACTCTTCTTTAATCACTTCTATTGGGGTTGAGGAGTGTAAATTTCTTATTACAACTCGTAGTGCTCTTTCCTGTTTCAACTGGTATGTGTGAAAGTCCGCATTTGTGTCTGTTAAATATTTTACGATTTTTCGGTACGCTTCAGGTGTGGCCGGTATTATTTTTGTATCGTTTATTCTGTTTAGGCATGTATAGCTACCTGGGCAGATTTTATTAAGTTGAGTACACAACAACTGGAAATTTCTCAAATTTTTGACAAAGATAGGAGGTGGGCGTGGTTCTCGAGGTATAGGTGCATCTTCCATTTCTTCCCTGTCATTTTCAAGCACCTGGTATGGATTAGGTGTAAAAAATGGAGATTCCATTTCTTGTGAAGACGTACTTGGCAGTGGTTGAGACACAGATTCTTGAGTGTTCGCTGGAGGAGTTCCGGGGGGTGTTAATCGCTTACTACGACGTGTTTTCTGTTTAGGCGGTGAATTACGTGGGGTAGAGCCAACTGAATGGGACCTCTTAGTTGACATTACTTGGTGTAATATCGCATATAAAAAAAAAAAAGAAAGGGAAAAAAAAAAATAAATAAATAAAACTACGTCTGCGTGTTATTACAATGGATGAACCACCGGCTGAGAAA